TATAGCGATCTCCCCAGCTCGCGTTTCGTTATATCGTGCTAAACACTACCGCCGTCCTTTTTTTTTTCTTTATTATCACTTATCAGCGGCAACTACGCGCGCGCTCAACTTTTGATTTACGTATGGCACTATGTAAAATTACGCGAACGTATTTTCCACTTTTTTTTATTTTCCTGTGTACGGTGTTCGATGGCGAACGGTGATGGAGCGACAATCATAGATGCCTTACGTCTCTCTCACTCTCCGCGATGAAAGAAGAGCGGGAACTTAAACGCGCGTATTTCTTTACTCTCGAGTCTATCGAAATTCGGGACTTTCGGATCGCGCGAGGACGATTTTAATATATTGTCGGTATCGCGCGTCTCTCGATAAATTTTCCCACAATGAGATGGGTGGGGAACGTACGCACGTACGAGCACGTGTTTCATTATATTACGAAGATGACGATCGGTGATGAGAAAACGACAACGCCGACGACCCTGCGCGAATATGTCGGAACCTCGGCCAAAGTGAAGGCTGCCCAAGTGTCATAATCGAGTGTGCGTGTGTGTTTCCACGGTTAACGTGTTTAATTAATACAGCAGAATTGTCCCAAAGTCTAGCGGAGGTTCTCGACGAGCTTTTGTTGTCCTGCGAGATATCCACCCAATTTCACTCCCTTGACTTGTTTAAACGTTTTAATCCGAACTTTTCCGCCCCGTCATTTACCACTGATAACTTCTCGAGAGTTGCCGAAACACGGGTCGAACGCGATATAGGATCGAAACGCGAGATCGTATTGAAGGAAGACTGAATAACGACGAATCTCTCGAGGAGAATTTCAACTGTCGACGCACGATAATCGCATTTCGCGACGATCAAATCAGGGTTTCCGATACCGATCGCATATCGTCAGAAAAAGTGTCTATGTGCGCCCTATATATATACATATATATAATTATACAAGTGTCTCGATTTTCATAATACACTCATTAATTTTCTCATATTTCTCACAATTCATTCCTAAAAGCACCATAAATCAATGATTATCAATGGATGATTATAAGGGCAAGATGATACTTTGCGCGAACACTACTTACTCGCTACTAGAGAGAACTGGATGTAAAATTGGAACCGCTTCTCGGAAACACGTCGTACCCCGCGTCTCGAACTCTCGGACTTCACACCGTGGGTCATCATTCAATCGTAAAAAAAAAAAAAAAAGTCAAAATTTGATCTGTCTTCCATGTTTCCTCTTTAGTTCCCCGCCTACACACGCGCCACTCATCCGTTTGGGTTTTGACATCACGTTCCGAGTTCTGGCAACCACCCTATGCTTGTCCCTCTTAATCTATTCCCTTCGCTGCACACACGTACCCCCTATTTTTAAAATCGAAACCTCTTCCGTTTCCGGAAGTTCTCACGCTTCCCTTTTTTTACCCCCGTGTGTATCTTTGTCCGCGCGCGCATACTTTTCGCCCGGAGTAATATTAAGTATGCTCTAGCTCGGACCTCACCGCGATCACTATTAATTTAAATATATATTATTGTTATATATATATATATTTATTTATTTATTTATCTTTCTCTCGGCGCACATCCGCCCGGTGATCCGAATCGAAATGTAATGTAAACGTACGCATATATATGTGGAACCGCGATAAAATTTTCCCCCTCGTTACCTCTAAAAGATAAGAATATGTTCCGCTGAAAAATTCTTTTCTCATAACATCTCGTCCACATCTCTCCTTCTTTCACACTTCCCGAATCTCGTGCACTCCCGAGATCCTGGAATAATTTTCTTCTTTTCTAGCTCTCTCCTTTCACATTTCCCGAATCCCGTGCACTCCCGAGATCCCGGATTAATTCTTATTCTAGCTCTTTCCTTTCACATTTCCCGAATCTCGCGCACCAGCGAGATCCTGGATTAATTCTTATTATAGCAAAATTAATGAGAGATTACCTGACACGATCTACATTATATACGCACGTGCACATTAGCGACTTGCATTTCTTGCGCATCTCTCGGCGACAGCGCTACGTCTGTCAGAACGTAAATGCTAAAGAGAAAATACCTATAAATATATTTTATATATATATATTGTGTATGTATATATATCATATAATATATATATAATATATATATATAATATAATATATGTGTGTTTTGTGTGTCACATCATCGACTTGTTTTAGCATCTTTTTTTCTTTCTTTATACTTAATATAGAAAAAATATAGAATTTACTTTACTTTGAACTTAAATATAATATAATAAACTTCTTTCTCTCTCTCTTTCTCACGTCGTATCATTATAATATATAAATATACGCTTTTGTTATGTGCATTCGTGTTGTTGGTGTGCTCTACGTGTTTTACATGAGTGTGTTTATGAAGTGTGACGTTTCTCGATATATAAGTAACAAATAATAATGTACAAATATCGTTCGCGCATGTCTTCAGCGCACTCACCGAAGCTCATGCGTACGCCATTTTTTTTTAGCGTGCGTTTAGTGCGTGCGGAGTGAGTGCGTGAGCAAGAGTGCGTGTCTTCGTTCATGCGTTTAATAAAGAAGAGTCGAGAAGAACGAAGATTGCCGCGGTACATATATGTATATATACGGAAAATATAGGAGGAACTGGAGTAGAGTAACGAAGCACACGGCAAACGGAGACACCTTCGCGCGACAAAAAATTAAAAAATTAAAAATAAACAAAATAAACAAAAAGATCGAGTCTCTTGTTTGGAAAGATCGAAAAAATATTCTCTCTCATCTTCCAACACCCATCGCGAGATGGGCGATTTAGATATATATAATATATATATGTAATATGTATTATATATAATATACCTCGACTTACTCGGAGCTGCGACTTGAGCATATATTCGTTTAAAAAATGGCAACGTTTGACAAGAATTTTTCATGATAAAAAAATAGAAATACATAGACAACGACAAAGGAGATTTTTGGGGAAAGGGAAAAGGGACGGGCGAGATTATCAAGGGACGATGATGAGAAAGGAAAATGTATGAACGTTGAATAAACTCGATATCGAAGCGAGGGAAAACGGAAGTACGCGAAAGAGTTTTTTTTACCTCTTCCGCTGTTAAGCTATCCTTTGTTGTTCGAATAAAAATTTGGAGTATCGTCTCCTGTCACGCGCGCACCGTTTAGAGGCCTCGTAATCGAGATCCCGTTTGATTAGCTTCTTCCCCCTGTTTTGCTTCTTTCTTCGAAACGAGATTATATGCAGAAACGAATAGTAGGGACACGTGGTACCAAGCTCCCTCTCGTACATGAAGGACGATCGTCGCGGTTTTGCACAATTTAATGGAGCCCCATGATCGTTCTTGCGCACGAAAGCGCGATGCTCGTCCGCGAGAAACGAAGGAGGAAGGACGTCTTGCGTCTTGTCTCGGAAAGTAATGAGAGATTTTGCGCTCGTCCTTTCTCCCAGCGATTCCGAAGAGAGAAGGAGCGGTACATACTGATATTGTATATGTATATAGAATAAAATGGACGTATATGACGGATGCGCGATCCCATATACATCCACATGTCACATACATATATATATATACATATATTAATGTAAGGTAATATAGCGATAATGTTGTGTTTACGCCTCTCTAACGAAAATAAAAGGACACTACATATGTATGCATCGTCGATCCCTACGTGAAATGAGTATCGTTTAGTGTCGAGTTTAAGCAATCTATACTCGATTATTACTAGTCGAAAAATACAAATATACTTGCGAGAACCGCCGGCGCATCGACCGACCTCATTTTTGCGCTCGCTCTTCCTGTTTGACAGCGGACGCACGGCCCCTCGACTTACGCATTGTGTACTCTATTATCCTCTCTCTCTCTTTTTTTATCCGTATGTTTTCTGCAATTTTCTCTACACGTTATAATATATATATTCTTAAATAATTTTCTCTCTTTTTTTCTCTCTATGGCGTTACAATTCAAGACCACCCGCCGTCCCATCGGCGAAATGCGCGAAAAATACAAAATCTAAATCTTGTCGATAAAATATCACTCGTCTCTTTCATTCATATTTAATCTTTCATTCTCTTTCCCTTTCGCGCGATCAGATTTACCAACTATATATATATATATATATATATGTATGTATGTACATACATACATATACATACATATACATATATATATATATATGTATATATTGTATATATATATATATATATATATATATTACATATAAATATATATTTATATTTATATAAATATAATTTATATAAATATAAGTATATAAATATATATATTATTAGAGCTATTATTATTTCAATTATTATTTTATATATATTATTTATATAAAGATATTTTAAGATATAATACTCTAATATAGCGAAGGGAAGCCGGGTGGAACGAACGAGCGCCGTCCGCTATATATTCGCTACGTGATTTCATGGCGAATCGAGGGGCCCGTGACCCTCTCTCTTCTTTTCCTTCTCTTTTTCACGTGTAGGATGTCAGTGCGAGATCATCTATCAGTATATTCACAGTGTATGCGTATGTGTGTCTTATGATTCGTGTGGGTAATTCTCGGTAATCTTCACTGTCGCACTCGCGACCACAGCTCGCAGGTTCGTCGAGTTCGTAATTGTACACTCGGCAACGGAAAACCCCTTTTCGGATCGATGATAAGAACTTAATGCTTTCTACGGCGCGTTTCGAGCGAACGCTGAGATCAAGGACTATCATACGCCTTTTTTGTTTGGAAAGAATGAAAGGAAAAATATGTGAATGAGAGAGAATCGCGAGGTTGCCCAGTGCGCAATTATCGAGGTGATTTTCTTTTTGTCTAGCCCTTTTGGCACAAAATCAAACATCGCAGGTTAGACAAATAAAAGATTGGCTACGTATCTTCAATCCATCATTATCGATTAGAAAGATTGACAGTTGAAGATGCGAGCATATAAGCATGCTTGAATCAAATATTATAAATATGTATATACATATAAGTATATATATATAAATATATATATATATATAAACATATACATACGTACATATATATAAAAGCTTTTAAAATGAAGCTTGATCTTTGGATATGATTTGAACGTGAATCATCATTCACAATCAGTCATACTTATTAATAAAAAAGAAAAAGGGAATCGAGAAAGCTCTAAGATCCATCATGCTAAGCAAGCAGCCTCCGTTCCCAGCAAACGTTCGACCCAAAGAAATTTCAGGAACGAGCAGAGAGTTTTTTTTTTTCTCTAAAACAGCAAAACACTAGGAGTGTTAAGCGTAGTCAAGAGGTCGGCGATGAGGCCGGTCGATCCGCGACTCGATCGATCCGTGTTCGGATCGTAGCCTCCGCGATGAAAAGAAAACAGAAAGTAGCGTCTCGGTAACCATCAGTCTCGCTACTAATAATATCAGTCGCAGAATATCGCAGCGTCGATCTTTTGCGGGCGATAGAGAGGCTCTTTCTCGCACGTCAGTCGGGACGGTACGATGGTAATACTTGTGTTCAGTACCCTCGTACCATCTCTCTCATCTACCTCGAGGCTTATTGGAGTACTCGACGAGCCGCGAGCCCAATCTATGCAAGCGTCAAGAGACGGGGAACAGGCGAGTGGAATACGGGAGGGGTGATGGGGGTGGGGCGAGGGGGACGATGAGACGGTGGGTGAGTGTATCCATCCCTGTCTCTGTCTCTCTCTCTAAATATATATCTCGTAGAACTTAAAAGCTGGCTTCGTTGTATCCGGTCAGCGGAAATTCGACAGACTCGACGACGATCGAGCCAAAGGAGCGATTCGTCGAGGCGAATTCCCGTCGCGTAAAAGAGATTATTGGCAGCCGTGGAATTGAGACATTGTGCGCGTTCGGTCCCCTGACGACGACGGCGTCACACCAGCATGGTAGAACGATGAAAAAGACGACGACGACGACGACGACGACGACGATGATGATGATGACGACTCCGGAGGATGCCGAGAGAGAATCACCGCGCAGATATTGTCGTTGTCGCCAACGTTGTTGTCCGCACTGTTGTAGTCGCGCGTGCTGGAGCAGTAATTAGCCGACCGTGGTGCTCGAGGAGCGGTAGAAGGTAGTAAGTTGCCGGTGCGTGCACCAGCGGTGTCATATTACGGGAGACTGACGGGCGGTGGCTCGAAGGGGGCCCCTCTTAGGAGAAAATGCGGAGCACCTGCAGAACGTGCCTGGCACAGACCGGGCAGCTTGGATCCTGGCTGTCGCAGACCCGGTTGCCGCAGTCCATGCAGAAGTGATTGTGTCCGCAGGGCACCAACGCCGCGGTGACTTCCTTGTCGCCGCATACAACGCACTCTCGTCGTCCGTTGCCCAGAAGCGAGTCCGTGGGCGACGCCGGACTTGCCGTCGCGGGCGGCGACGGCCTCGAGGGTAACGCAACGCCCGGGAACGACCAGATCGACGATGTCGAGGTCGGCTGAGATTCGAACGACGGCGATTCCCCCAAACCCTCGTCTCTCTCCAGACCGGCGCCCCAAATGGCGACGATATCGTTGAGCCCAATCCCTCCGGTACTGCTGGACGAACTGCTGCAACTGCCGCTGCTGGAGAACGCGTTGGAGCTGCTAGAGCTATTGGATCCAGGTTGATCGATACCTTGAATTCCGAGGACCGAGCCGAGACCACCGCGACAGAGAGCGCCCAATAGATCGGTCTCGTCGCCGACGATACCGGGCGCGGCGCCGGTACGCAAAGTGATGTGCGCCTGGATCTCGCGTCTAGCTGCCTCTACGCTATCCGGCAGGCCTGTTACCTCGAATACCGGCTCCTTGTCCCGACTCGGAGTCACAATGTAGGTATGCGTCTGATGCTGAATTCGTTTGATGGTCGCGCCCTTCGGCCCAACTACTAGACCTACCACTCTATACGGCACTCGGACCTGAATCGTCACGTGTCCAGGCACCGTCGCGGGTGGACCGGGTGGTGCACCGAGCAGGGCACCCAACGAACTCTTGCGTGAAGCGCGAATCTGCGAAAAGTGCTCCGCGGCGGAGAGGATCTCACGTTTTGCACGGGCCACGTCCTCCTTGCGACCTGTCACGACGAACACGGGTTCTTCGCCGCGCACGGGCGTCTTGATATAGGTATTCGTCTTCGCTCGAAGCGCTTTGATCTTGCAACCTGCAATCAAACCAAAGAGAAACGTTCATTACGAATATTGCAGCATATATACTGGTGGATTGGTTTGCGGATTGGTACTATATCGATTCTATTTGTGAAAATGCAACATGTTTAATGCTTGATTGATAAAGTACACAACACAAGAGAAAGTTCAGTCGTAAATGTTCTATTACTCTCGTACTTAAATTATTATTTATTTCTCATATATACATTCCGGCCCAAGAGCCGCCCACGCGCGTAATAAGCTTTTGTAAAGTGGCAGCGCGCATGCATGATGCAATTGTTTGCGAATCGCCGAGCGAGGGACGCAGCGCGAAGATCGGAAAAGAATGGAGAGAGACTCGTCAGATGCCGCGCGAGAGCGAAGCGAGAGAGAGAGAACAGGGCGCAGGAAACTGGAAGGAAGGAGGTCCCGACCCGGTCTGGTCCTCGGTCTCGCAGACTCTTTGGCCTTGAGCCAGCGCAATGCTAGCAATGCAGGTGAACCACTCTCCTCCCTCCTTCACTCTTTCGCTCCTGGCGCTCCTCTCCGTCGTTTCCTTCTCGCGCTCGTCCTGAGAATCTCCCGCTCTCTTCTCTCTCTCTCTCTCGCTGTTTCCTCCCGGACCTCCCTTTCATTCAGTTCACTCTCTCCTTCGTCGCGATGGAAGGAGAGAAGGCGACACGCGCGTTGCATCGCATACCAGGCAGCTTTTTCGTCTCTCTCTCCCGATCAGCGCGTTATACACGGTCTTGTCTTTTCTCCCTCGTCATTCTCTCGCGATCAAATTTTGCATTTTCCGGACGCGACATAAGAAAGCGAAAGGACGAAGCAGAATTCAGGGCGAAAGAGCGTGGGGACGAGGGAGCAAGGCCGCGAATAAATTCCAGAATTACTTTGTCCGCGCGCAAGGAGAATGCGCGGCTTGGGAATTCGCGTCGACTGGGCGTCGCGTCGAGAGAGTGCCCTTGCCTAGAGAATATATATCCTTGCGTAATGACAAGCGCAATGTCACGGACGTTTCTGCTTCTCGGAGGAACGCGCGTCGCGTCGCGACGTATCGACGTTTGCCGCTGAAAATAAGACGATAAACAATTAACGCGAGCGACAAAGGAATACCAACTGTCTCGCCAGAGTATGGGAATATGCTCGAGAGGTCGTCTCGGGGGAGTGAGTGCCTAATTGGAGACGCAATTCCACTCAATTATGAATTACGAGAGACGCTGCGCAGTCAATCGGAATTAGAATGTTAGCTTACATATCATCAGACATTATATTATTAATCTTGTTTAGAACACAATAAAATTTGTTCAAAAATAATTCCTAGTTTCAGGCATCGTAAGAGAAGATTTCTTCGAATTCCTAGGTACGGAGAGGAACTCGAAGACCATGCTTGCGTGCAAGTAAGCACTGAGAAGAAACGCCAGCCGAGTTTCCGCTTCTCCGAGAGTCTCACTCCCTTATTCCGGAAATTCGCCCAAGGCAAATCGGAGCGGCTTTGGTGCGGCTAAATAACTCTCCGTAGAAGAGAGGTAGGAGCAGGTGGAAGAGGCAGATCGGAGAATACGCGTGCAGGCGCGCGCGCACTCGCGAGAGAGACCAACTTGTGCACGAGGTATACGTACGGGCAAAGGAGTGAAGACCCGCCAAGGAGAAGAAGGTTCGCCGCGCTCGTAGAACCTCGAGAAAGGTGGCGACGATGGTTGTGACGGTGGTGCCGATGCTGGTGGTGGTGGTGGTGGTGGTACAAACGGAGAAAGAGGAGAAGGTGGGGCGTGGGTCATAGACAGTTGAAGGGCCGCTGGTAAGGTGAGGCGAGACGAAGAGGTAGGAAAGAGAGAGAGAAAGAAAGAAGGCCCCGTCCGTCGAAGACCACGCTGCTGCTCGGGGGACCCTTGCTTTGTTCGCCTGGTCTAAGGGACGAGAGAGGAACGAGAAGAGGATCGAATGGAACGAGTCTTCCTCCCGATCCGCTTCTTTCGGAAACGTAAATCGGCAATGAGCAAAAGCGCTCTCTAGCTCGGTTAGACGTAATCGCGATCGCGACAAGGTTCTATGACAAGTTATCGCAGTAATATGCAAGGCAATTATAAATTTACTCTCTTTCTGTCTCTGCCGGAGGCAGCTTGTCATTCATACTGACTGATGCACACGAGGCACGTGGTACGTTCCCCGAGTAGCGAGTACAATGATGAGCGAAAGCCATTCTCGATGGAGCCACGTCTCTACCATTCCCACGATACATCACAACGCTAGAATGACGTTGCTAAAATCTGCAGCAGCAGCATCGGCGGCTCCCCAAAGGCCGCAGGATCAATAGTTACAGGCTTCCACTGGCGGCCCATGGCTGCATTATAGACGCTCCGTGTAACTCGAATGCATAGGGCGTCGAATATAAGCTGCGCCGCCGACATTTCTAAATTTGTCTCCGCTAAACCTTATATTTTCTTTACTCATCTTTATTCGCGTTACTTTATAATTGTTCGTACCGCGGAAAATTATTTTTTAATTCCCAGCGCAAATTACAAAAGAAAATAATGCTTACAGCTACTGTACTTCTTAGAAAGGTCAAAGTAGCATGTTTCGACGAAGAAAAGATACGAGAGAGACACTCGTGGGCCATCTGCTCGTCTTTGCTTTAATTACACCCAACAAATATCCAAACAGAAAGACACTTTGCCGCGAAGAAAGCTTCATTGAAAATTCCTCAAGAAATTAGAAAGTAGAGAAACAAAGTCTTTATGCAAACTCTTGATCATCGGAATATCGAATGTTCTAATTCTTCAAATTGGTACATAAAATAATCATATAGTTTCCTTTTTCATCATTTTCTAAAATATTTTATATATTAATACAGATTAAAAAATATTTTACTTGGAAATATTTCTTAATTAAAAATTCTATTTATTTTATCAAACCGACTTATCGCAAAGAATCATCTGTAATTGGTCTTTAAAGAAAATTCACGTGAATCGTTTTCAAATAGCTATATAAAATAATCGTACAGTTTTCCTTTTCATCATTTTATAAAATATTTTACCACAGATGAATTACAGAATATGTAATTCTGTAATTCATTTTTTGAGAAAATTCTCGTGAGTCGTAGAGAGAAGCTACAACAGTTTAAGATACGCAGTTTCCTCGCCTCGGTCGGTCGGTCGGTCGGTTGGTTGGTGACGGCAGGGTTTGTTTAGGGCCCCATGGGCCCTTAAGTAGCGGTACCCTTTGGCATCGTGGACGCGTCGTAGGTCCGCGCACGGAGCTGGTATCACGAGTTTCTCAGGCAGGTCAGTGAAACTGCGCCGTCAAGTTGAAGGCCAACACCCCCACAATGCAACGGCCGAGCACCACCGTCGCTCTTCCCCACCATCATATCGTTAGATCCTCCGCCTCTTCCTCCCGCGTGCCTACCATCCCCCTTTCCGTCTCGTTCCCTTCTAACGTAACCCCACTCGACACGCGCGCGAACGATATAGAGAGAGAGTCGAGAAAACTTCAATAACTTGCCGATAACTCGTTTCTGCCGTCGACGCCGCCTTTGTACAAGTACTCCCTCGCAAAATGATGGACTTATCGCTCTGGAAACGATTAATCTTCCCTCCCTGGTTTCGCTCACGTTTTGCGCACCTTTCCAAAACTCGGGGCCATACTTTACGAAGGCATAATATAATCGAGAGTACAATGTTTTCGTCGAAACAAATATGCGTATGATTTAAGCCGTGACTATCTCCTAATTTATGAAACCTATCGAAGACTCGATGATTGATGCGCTTATAAGTCTGAAAAACCAACGAAGAATCAAGTCTAGCTGCTTGAATAAAGTTGGTTAATCTCTCTCTCTCTCTCTTTCTCTTTCTCTCGGCAGCTGGACCAAAGAAGATGCAGGAGCACACGGTCATTCGTGCGTTGACCATCGAACAGTCCAGATCGAGTGAACAAGCAGGTGTGGTAACGACCCGTCCGTCCGTCTCCTTGTCTTTCCTCTCCTTCAATTTTCTCCCTCTACGCCCGAGAGATTTCCTCTCCTCTATCTCTATCTCTCTCCCCCGTGCTTTGCGCCTCTTTCTCGCTCTCTCTTTTACTGACCCCTCGCGAAGGCCAGAAATTCCAGCCTCCTCTCGAAATAGATCGATGACACTCTCGACGACTAAGCGTACGCACGCACGCATGCATCGTTTCTCTTTCCATCTCTTTCTCTTTCCTCTCCCTTGCTCTCGCGAAGAAGCTGATGTCTCTGAAATAACCGAGGCAAGGCTCACTCATCGGGCTGGGGAATAAGGTGCAACGCACGCATCCGTTCACCAACACTCTCTTTCCTTCGTCGTCGTTTCTCTCCGCGCGTATCTTCCTCTTCTCTCCAACGTCCTTCTCCGTTCTTCTTCTTTAATCACTCTCGCTTCGTCTCTCTTTCTCTTTCTCTCTCTCTAGGTCTCCCTTTCCTCTCCCTCGTTTGCAGTTGCAACTGCCGTCGCGTCCGACACTGTCTCGAATGGCAGTGGAGGTCATACTATATTAAGATTGAACTCCACTGACACTGCGGCCCAACAGCGTTCATTCTCCTCCCTACTTTTTTCCTACTCTTTCTCGCTCTTTCTTTTCCTCTCTGTCTTCCGCTTCTCCTTCCGACCACACGCCTCGCGCACTCTTTTGCCCCGGACTCTCCTCGAACAGCAATCCTCGTGATAATACCATTCGTTCGTACGAGAAGATTCTCGATGAAGGTTCCATCGAGAGATCCCACGATGGAAAATGTAGATTACGCCAGGCCGTTAATCTTTTATGGAAATGCAGCGGGACGATGGTCCTTGAAGAGATAGCAAGAATATCCTCGAGCCTTTCGACAACCGATGGACGTGATCGGCGATGTCCCCGGAAACGCATCGATCGATCGAATAAGCCTCTTTTTACGAATTCACGATACCATTGCATGGGCGTCCGCAGAATTTTTTCAGGAGGAAGCATAATTCATTTTTTTCTTCTTAGTTCTTGAGTTTTACTTTTCTTTTTTTTTTTATTAAAT